ATGCTTGTGATGTGGTAGTGGTTCCTGATGTGGTTGTTGTCCCCCTAGGTGTTGTAGTTGTTGATCCCACTTCTGTGGTTGTTGTTGCGGCTATAGTTGAAGTTGTTGTTGCAGCTGTAGTTGTTGTCTGTGATGCTTGTGATGTGGTAGTGGTTCCTGATGTGGTTGGTGTCCCCCTAGGTGTTGTAGTTGTTGATCCCACTTCTGTGGTTGTTGTTGCGGCTATAGTTGAAGTTGTTGTTGCAGCTGTAGTTGTTGTCTGTGATGCTTGTGATGTGGTAGTGGTTCCTGATGTGGTTGGTGTCCCCCTAGGTGTTGTAGTTGTTGATCCCACTTCTGTGGTTGTTGTTGCGGCTATAGTTGAAGTTGTTGTTGCAGCTGTAGTGTTTGTCTGTGATGCCTGTGATGTTGTAGTGGTTCCTGCTATGTTTGTTGTTCTGCTAGGTGTTGTGGTTGTTGTTCCTAGTGCTGTGGTAGTTGTTGTGGCTGGGTTGGAAGTAGTTGTCAATGCCTGTGTGGTTGTAGTCGTTCCTGCTGTGGGTGTTGTTGTTGTGTCGGGATTAGAAGTTGTTGTTGCAGGTGTGGTGGTTGTCTGTGATGCTTGTGTTGTGGTAGTGGTTTCTGCTATGGTTGGTGTTCCGACTGCTGTGGTAGTTGTTGTAGTTGGATTGGAAGTAGTTGTCAATGCTTGTGTCGTTGTAGTTGTTCCTGCTGTGGTTGTTGTTGGATCGGGATTAGAAGTTGTTGTTGCAGGTGTGGTGGTTGTCTGTGATGCTTGTGTTGTGGTAGTGGTTTCTGCTATGGTTGTTGTTCCACTTGGTGTTGTCGTTGTTGTTCGCACTTCTGTGGTTGTTGTTGTGGCTGGGGTTGAAGTTGCAACTGTTGAGGTTGTCACTGATTCTTCAAGGTTGGTAGTACTTCTGTCTGTTGTTGTAGAAATCTGGATTCTTGTGGAAGTGGTTGGCCCTGCTGATGTGGTAGTTGTGGCTTGAGTGGAAATAGTTGTCAAAGTTGGTGGGGTTGTAACACGTCCCACTGTTGTTGTTGTGTTAGGATTAGAAGTTGTTGTTGCAGCTGTAGTGGTCGTCTGTGATGCTTGTGGTAGTGTTGCTGTAGTAGCTGGTTCTATTGCTGTGGTTGTTGTTGTCTTTTGGTTTGAAGTTAATGTGGTGGTGATCTGTGCAACAACTGTGAACAAAAAATCTGACTATTAAATTATTTTTTCTAAATCTAAAACAAGTAAGGTATTTTATAGTTAGCAAAATATGTTTGTTCATTAAACCTGATTTTCATTTCTTGTTTCAACCATTTAAACAAGCAGTACATACTGTATATATAAGCAAGCTTACCTGTTAGGAGAGGAAGGACCCACCTCAGCCATCTGTTACCCATTTTATGATAGATTCTATAAAAATAAAATAGATACATGTTAAGATTAAGAAGTCTTTTATTTTTCCCACAATAGTGAAACATAATGTTGAGAGCAGGAGAGTACAACACAGTGGATAAAGAGTAAAGTGCAGTGGGGCTTCAAAATACAAGTTCAATCCGTTCCACAACAGCACTCGTATGTCTCGTATGTATCATCTTGTATCTCGATTGGATTTTCCCAATCAAAAATACCACACTATAAGGGGCACTTAAAAGCCTTTATAACCTGGTGCGCTTTATGTATTACTTCTGATTGTGCTTACTGAGATTACTGTGATTTTATAAAGCCAAACCACACAGCACATCACACATGATGGCACTCAACTGAAGCACACTGGGAGCCAACAATGACGTTTATGACGCAGAAGGATGACTCAGACGTGCGGCTGTCTATTCTTTCGTGGTCAAGAACTCTTTTTATTTCTGCTGTGTCTTTGTATTGTTGATGAATGGTGGGACGCAGAAGGATGACTCAGACGTGCGGCTGTCTATTCTTTCGTGGTCAAGAACTCTTTTTATTTCTCCTTTTTTATCAATGCAGGCAAAACACCCACTCTCTGCAAAACAACATCCGCACTTCAGAACCGAGCAGCGTCAAAACAATACGGTGACCACCCAGAACAAAAATAGTGACAACCGCCTGACTCTGGACCGAGCTTTCACGAAGGCCGGAATCATCACTGAACAGCTAATCAACAGCAACAAAACTGACTCAGATAATGACGAGAGGGATCCGGGCATGCTTGATTAAGTGTTTTGTTTTGCTAAATGCGCCTTATACTCCGGTGCGCCTTATATTTGAAAATAGACCCGTTCATTGATATTGTGCCTTATAATTCAGTGCACCTTATGGTCCGAAAAATACAGTAACTAAAAAACAATCAATTCGTTCCACCCTCCCACCCCCCTAGAAATGTATTATTAATTACTTAAATTAAAATCCGCCCATCTCATCATCAAAAACATAAACAAATATATTGACAACATAAAATAATAATAATTAAGAAAACATTTTATATTATTGATATAAAAATGGGTAAAATAACCAAGTGAGGGACAGTGAGGGAGACAGAGTCAGGGCACTAAAGTAGGAGAAGGATTTAGATGGTAGAGAGAGAGAGAAAGGGAAAG